CAGGTTATGTGCCAAATTTTTGCATTTGTACTAAAGCCTGTTCAGTTACAAAACAAATCAAGTTACTGATGAAGAAAATACGAAATATGAGTGGTCAAATGAAAATGCGCAAAGATTTTTTGAATAAAATACGAGCAGTAAAGCGTGTTACTCGGGTGTTCGTGGCGTATCTATATATTAAGATTTTTAAATTTGTTCGTAAGATATACATGATTAAAAGGAACCAGTTTTTGCTTTAAGCTGAATAACGGTAAATTGCAAATATCTCGAAAACGAATCCATAGAAAAAAAATTAACTCGATTTTCGGAATCACCGAGCAATTCTACACAGGAATTGGATAATGGCGTCTGGAGAACAAAAATAAAACTAAAATTTGTGATCCAGTGTTATTTGTCGTGGTAGATCGGTGCGTTACACTCGCATTGTGTCCAGAACTCATTTCATATTAAAATACAATTGGTTGTGAGAAATACCTTTTTATGCTAAATAAGCCTCAGACCTTATATTTATTAAATGGTGATAATTACTTTAGGCGGATTGAATGGATATGTTTCCGGGACTTTAATCTCTAAAACAAATTTTCCTCCCTCATATGGAGTATCTGGTGGACCAGCGATTTCCCCGCGCAACTCTGTCCAGCTATCGTTGATCAATTCAATTTTAATAGAGCATTGCACAATCTGAAAGAATTACAAGTAAAAAAGACTGTTAGACTGTGTTTTATATACTTATAATAATTTCGCAAAAAAAAAACAATTAGAGGTACCGCAGAGTTGTACATAAGGGTGTTTGGAACAAAAGTAAACCCTACGGTAATTTTAACTTCCTAAGGGCCAGTTTTTCAGTGCCCATTTAAACTTAGATTACGTAAACTGCGTTTATATTGAACAGCTGGCTGGCATTTGATTGGATAATCTTAGTTTAAACTAGCTATCTCGAGCGTTTAAACTTAGTTTAAACCCCAACCGCTCACTAAAAAAACTGACCCTAAAGGTGTCCAATAGTAATCAAAAACAGGTGAAGCTACAAATAACAAGTAATTTTTAGCAAAAAAAAAAACCGACTTCAACTCCCATATAAAATATATATATATATATATATATATATATATATATCATGATCCACTGATCGGATCTCAACCAGATTAGTATGGGACCACCTCTGAGACACTACCTTTCCGATGCAAAAAGAATTATCGAAATCGACTGACGTGGTCCAAAGTTATGCGGTAACATACATAAAAAAAAAAAAATATTCCGACGAACTGATAACCTCCTCAAAGACTGTCGTCAAATTTCGGTGTCAGATGATTGACATTCCGTTTTCATTACTGACGTCAAATGTGATGTTAAATTTTTACAAAAAGTGTAGAATACCTTTTAGCTATAGACACACCAAAAATGTAATTGGATAGAACTCTTCATGTTGATTTCAACCTTACCAAAATTATTTAGCGCAAGTAAAAAATTAAGAAGATATAGGAGGTTAGGTTAAATTTTTTGATATATTTTTAAGTCAAAAATACTAAAAAACAAAAAATTTTAACTTTTTCATTAAATTACCTTTTCTGAAGAAAATTGCATAATCAATGCTACAGAAATTTATATTATTTAGAAAGTACAAGTTATTACGTTATATAGAAAGGTTTGTTATAGAGCAAAATTTAACAAAAGTAGTGGGTAAAAATCGAAATTGTATATATATTTTTTAAAATAGCGTTTACCAAAAATTTGGTTTAAAAATGGTTAAAGTAAATACGTCGTAAAAACGCTACTAAAATTATCTTTGAATTGGCATCAATACTTTTCTAATCGGTCAAGTAGTTTCCGAGATATTAAACATATAAAAAATAGGAAAATTGAAATTTAACATGTTATATTTTCTTTGTTTTTTACTTGCCCCAAATAATTTGGGTATGGTTGAAATCTGCGTGAAAAGTTCTACCGATCTGCATTTTTGTTTTTTTTTTTTGTCGCTGTTCGCATGGCAAACGAAATCAAAATTGCCAACATGTTGGCAAATACATTTTGGTTGTCAAATGCTGTCACATCAGCGGCGAGGACCGTTTTCATTTGGATGTCATTTTATATGACCGTGCGTGGTGATATATGACACCAAACGCAAATGACACCAGATAACAACCCGTTTTCATTATTTTGACAACATTTGACGTCAAATATGACCTAATGAAAACCAGGCTTAAGGTTGATGCAATCTAAATACATAAACAAATTTTTAAACAAAAATCGATATTGTATCCAACAGTTTGATTTCATTGATTACTAGTTTTTATAACCGAGCGCACTTGTGCACAAGGGTATTATAACTTTGTTCACATAACGGTTGTTTGTAACAGGCAAAACGAATCGAGATATCCCACGACAGTCGGGTCTACGTAACCGGAACGACCCAGATTTATATCTGGCCAAGGGCTGTCACTCCAGCAACACTCCCCAAAAAGTCTTTGGGGAATTTGTATGCTGCTACAACAACAACAACATCGAGATAGATATAGACAAAAGTATACATAAATGATCAGAATGAAAAAAGAAATCGATTAAGCGGTGACTGTCTGTCCGTCCGTCCGTCTGTGCACACGATAACTCGAGTAAAAATTTAGATATCTTAACGAAACTTTGTACGTGCACTTCTTTCGGGCGTAGGACGGAATGGGCAAAATCGGACAATAACCACGCCTACCTCCCATATAACGGTAATTTTCAGAAATACGAAAACTGCGATATTTAAATAACTACTAAAGATTATTCACTCAAAATTCATATTTACAATAATTTTTAGACGAAAAATAATATTATGAATTTTTGGAAAATGGGCGTAGCCACGCCCACTTATGGTTACATGTGTATATCTTGGTAACCGCTGCACCAATTTCTTCCAAACTTGGCACAGTTGTTAGCCTTGCTACAGCATACCAAATGGCAAATCTGACAGTAACCACGCCCACATCGCATATAACGGTAATTTGGAGAAATACGAAATCTTCGATAAATCAGTAAATATTAAAGCTGATTTATTCAAAATTGATGCTTGCAACAATTCTTTACCAAGAAATACGTTTATGGTAAAATTTTGGAAAATGGGCGTCGCACCGCCCACGTATGATCACATATATGTATCTCCGTAACCGTTCTATCAATTTGTACCAAACTCGGTATGGTTATTGTGCTTGCCACATAAAAGCAAAACGTAGAAAATTATTGAAATCGGACTAAAACTGAGGCCGCTTTTCATAGAACGGTAAATTTCAGAAATGCTTCAAACTTCAATATTTCCAAATTTAAGGACGCTAACTTACTCAAAATTGATACACCCCGCCTTACCATGTAGCGGTAGCTTTCGGAAAGGTGAAAATTATATATTTAATACTTGCGCCGGGTATTTAATGTTCGGCTGCGCCCGAACTTAGACTTTCTTACTTATTAATACATGCATATCGAATAAAACACCTCTTTGAGGTAAAATTTACGAGTGACGAAAGCTGAACTAGAAACACAAAATTTATTATATCAATTTCGTGACGAGAATTATACGCATTTTTAAACTGCCTTGGAAACGTACGGAAAATCTTTTTTATTCATGCGAATCGTTGCAAAAGTTCTGTTTTTTATTTTGTGTTTCTAGCAGTAGACGGACTTTCGCAACGTTCCGAATAAATAAAAAAAGATTTTCCGTACGTTTCCAAGGCAGTTAAAAAATGCGTATAATTCTCGTCACGAAATTGATATCATAAATTTTGTGTTTCTGAGGCAGTCCAAGCTATTTCAATGAAAATTATGATTTTTTTTAGATTTTGATATAAACTGGGTATAATGTAGAAATACCTCTAAGATATGGCAAAACGCGAGGAATGTAAAAAAAAATAAAATTTGCTTAAGTTATACAACAACAAAAATATTAGGTGTCCCAACATAACAACACTAACATAACAAAATGTGTAACAACGGTTAACACAGCACGCAGGATTTTTGCACTCGCTAATTTGTTGAATATTTAAGCGTGTTAATTCCATATATAAATCTTTTTGCATACCGGAAATAATATCTTAATATACACTGTGCACGTGTCGATTGGAGCAACAAAGGATTTCTCACCGGTTCCTTTGTAAACAACAGGCGATTTCTCTCCGGGCATACTCGCGCTGCCGGGTCAGCAAAACGGAATCACCATTTTATCACACCGGAGAAGCTGAATTGGCGTATGAAGCTCGCAGATGGTCGCTGTGTTCCTTGTGTGTGGTAATTTTGGCACTTTGGCATACTTTACTAGCCATTTTATAGAAGTTTAAAAACACTAAACTGCCTTTAATATAAGAAACAGCTTTGGTTAAAAGAAAAAAAACTGTGTGTAATTGCGCCAAAATCTCATAAACAGTGAGCTGTCAAAATTGTATTGTATTAAATCAGCTGTGCCCACAGAAGGGTTGCCAACGTCCAACAAAACAAGGGGGCTTCACGTTAAAGTAACACACACTATATTATAAGGAGGACGCACGTCACAGTAAAACTTTGCTGACACTGCAGAACTTAAGGTATCTATGCTGTTCTAGTAAAATTTTTAGTGCATAATTGTATCACGTCATTCCAAATAATAAAAAGCTGATTTTAACTGGACCTATAGAACCCAAAATCCGCGGATGATCAAAATGCCACTTGAAACTCGTTCAGTGAAAAAGGATATTACGAGGAACCAACATACGCCTTCGCACAATCCGTCGTCATCGCTAATTGAAAAGCTGGAAGCAAATTTTGGCACGCAATGAGAGGCAATTATCTCTGAGTTCTCTGCCATAGTAAAGGAGTCCGAGGAGAGAATTATGCAGATAATAAGTGACTTTGCTGGAGAAATATCCAATGTCAAATTGTCAATAGCGGTAATTGACAATAGGGTGTCGGCGGTTGAGAGTTCTTGCGCTGATATTTTTTCTCCGTAACGAGCTGCTTGCTGTTCAGAGCGAACTATGCGAGCTGAAAAACAACGCAGTGGCGGCGGACATTATAATTAATGGTCTCCCACAGGAAAGCGCTGAAAACTTGCGCGAAGTATTCGGGAAGGTATGTACTGCTATTGAGCACACACCCCCACCACTTCGCGAGGGTTTTCGGATCCGCTTGGGCAAAGGTGACCAGCGAAAAAATAACCAAAAACCCGTAGCCGTGAAGCTGGCTGCTGCATATGACCGTAACCAGCTTTTTAAATCGATTGCTGCTTTTTGCAAAGAAAAAAATAAGAGACCTCTAATTCTTTCGGATCTCGGATTACCAGGATATGGAAAGGTATACATTCATGAGAGCCTAACGAACTCTGCGCGTGAGGTGATGATGTATGCAACCGACTGCAAGAGAAAAAAATTGTTGACGTCCTCTTATTCAATCCGGGGAAAAATCCACAGTAGGCTGAAACCACATGAAAATGCAAAAGTCGTGTTTAGCAAGAGAGACGTCGATGCTTTTATTGGCGCTAGAAACTTATCATTTCTTTCTTTTTTAAATTTATTTATTTATTTATTAGTATATATATTATTTTAATTATGATATCACCTTCTTCGCTCCCATCCAAAGATCTTTGGCGTAATATGAAAAACCTTAATGTGCATGGAAAAATTAAATCGAAATGTACCATTGATCCCGAGACACTAAATGATTTCTTTGTTAGTGCCTGC